AGCCTGTAGGGGAGAGCAGTTGGGGGGCATCAGGCCTTCAGGGGAGGGCAGTTAGGGGTGTCCAGGCCTGCAGGGAAGGGCAGTTAGGGGTGACCAGGCCTGCAGGGGAGGGCAGTTAGGGTCAATCAGGCTGGCAGAGGAGCAGTTAGGCATCAATCAGGTTGGCAGGGAAGTGGTTGGGGGACATCAGGCTGGCAGGCAGAAGCAGTTAGGGTCAATCAGGAAGGCAGGCAGGCAAGTAGTTTGGAGCCAGCAGTCCTGGATTGTGAGAGGGATGTATGACTGAACCTGGTAGGATCGGGCCTAAACAGGAAGTGGGACATCCCTTGAAGGGTCCTAGATTGGAGAGGGTACCTGCTGGGCTGAGGGACAGTACCTCCCCCCCTCCAATGCATGAATTTCTTGCACCAGGCCTCTAGTTACATAATCAACAAGCACAATCTCAAAACGAATTAAAAACCTAAAATGTAAACCTCAAAACCATAAATATCCTATAAGAAAATGTAGACAGTAAGATCTCAAAGATTTCTTATAGCAACATTTTTTTTCCTGTTATATCTATCATAGCAAGAAAAACAAAAGAAAAAACAAATGGGCTTACATCACACTAAAAAGCTTTTGCACAGCAAAGAAATTCATCAACAAAATGAAAAGACAACCCACTGAATGTTAAAACATATTTGCCAATGATACATCTAATAGGAGGTTAGTATCCAAAATTTATAAAGAACTTATATAACTCAACAGCAAAAAAAAAAAAAAAAGAAGAGAAAAAAAAAAACCCACAACAAACAATCCAATTAAAAAATGGGCAAAGATATTGAAAACTTATTTCAAGAAAGTAATGAGAAAATTTCCCCTACTGGGGGAAAGAAATAGACTTATAAATACAGGAAGCATAAAAAGTCCCAAACATGATGAACCAAAAAAGGTCTACACTAAGACACATCATAATTAAAATGCCAAAGGATAAAGACAGAGAGAGAATCTTAAAAGTAGCAAGAAAAAAGCAGCTAATTACCTTCAATGGAGCACCCATACTATTGTCAGCTGATTTCTCAACAGAAAATTTGCAGGGCAGAAGGGAGTGGCAAGAAATATTCAAAATGATGACGAGCAAGGACCTATAACTAAGGTTACTCTACCCAGGAAAGCTATCATTTAGAATTGATCAGTTAAGAGCTTCACAGACAAAAAAAAAAAAGGTAAAGGAGTTAGTTAATCATCACCAAACCAATATTACATTAAATGTTGAAGGGTACTCTTTAAGAAGGAAAAAAAAAAAAGATTAAAAAGATATGAATAATAAAATGGCACTACATACATACCTATCAATAATTGAATTTAAAAATTCAAATAAATGAACAAGGAATCTAATGAACAAAATAAAATGATGAAATAAAACAGGACCAGAAGTATGGAAAAATGAGATAGACTGAGGAATCTCAGAGGGGTTGGAAAGAGAGCCAAAGAACATGCATACATGCATTACCTATGGACACAAATAATATGGTGGTGAAGGCCTAGAGTGAGGTGAGAACTGGTGGGGGAGTGGGGGGATGAGAGGGGAGGTAATGGGAGGAAAAACCGGGACATCTGTAATACTCTCAATAATCCTATCTAATAAAAGAGTAATATGCAGATTGACCATAACTCCAACACACAATAGCTGCCCCCATGTGGTCAAAGATCCTTCCCCCACGATGGCCACCACAAGTAGGGGAGGGCAGTTGAGAGAGACCAGGCCTGCAATGGATGGCAATTGGAGGCGATCAACCCTGCAGGAGAGGTCAGTTAGGGGTGACCAGGCCAGCAGAGGAGGGAAGTTGGGGGAAACAGGCTGGCAGGAGAGCAGTTAGACATCAATCAGGCTGGCATGGGAGTTGTTAGGGGGTGATCAAGCTGGCAGGCAGAAGCAGTTAGGGGCAATCAGGAAGGCAGGCAGGAGAGCAGTTGGGAGCCAGCAGTCCTGGATTGTGAGAGGGATGTCCAATTCCCTGTTTAGGCCCAAATCCAGGACATCCCTTGAGGGGTTCCAGATTAGAGAGGGTGCAGTCTGGGCTGAGGGACCCCTTCCTGTACCCCAAGCATGAATTTTGTGCACCAGGCCTCTAGTAAATATATATTTTAAAAGACGAGTTTGCAAATACCAAGGGGTTAACCAATAAAAAATAGAGGAAGCAAACGAAATATGGGGAAAGGACCTGGATAGACTCTTCTCCAAAGAGGACATATGAAGGTGGTTTCAGACATACGAAAAGATGCTCAATGTCACTAATCATCAGAGAAATGCAAATTAAAACGACAAGATATCACCTGACACTTGTCAGAATGACTACCATCCATGAGTGTTGGTGAGGATGTGGACAAAAGGAAACCCTCAAGCACTGTTGGTGGGAATGAAGTTTGCTGCAGCCACTGTGGAAAACTGACAGACTCATTAAAGATTGCTTGTGTTTGTGTGAAGTGAGCTGCTCAATACTCACTTGAGAATGTGATAATGATGCCTGGTGCTTTTGAATTCACATTTGAATCTCTGGAATCTTCAGAGGTTTATCCCCAAAGGCAAACAATAATAAAAACATGCCTACTATATAACAATAATGATTTTGAATTTATTGTTGTAAGATGAGTGAATTCCTATGTCAACAGGTAAGATTTTGGCTTTTGTGAAGAATCTGATTTCCATATATTCTCTAAAATTGCACTCACAAGACCTGGTGGAGAAACAAGGCAGATGTAATCCAGCGGTCAGCTAGCAAGTAACCTTATCTGAATCAACCCAAGTTTCTACAGTCCATTTAGTGGTTATAAACAAATATAACTCAGGGTAGCAGGCCTCCTCGTTTATGCACCCATAAGACCAGAAATTCACATGATCTATCCCACTCTCTGAACTTGGCACTCAACCATAATGCTAATTAATTCACTGGCTTTGAGATGCTTTGGAGTGTAAATGTTTGTTAATATCCAAAAATCTCCCTTTATTTATTGTTCTGAATGCTTTAGCCTTCAGGCAACCAGATACTTTTGACCAAGTTGAGAATAAACAGCCAGAAAAAGGGGTTCAACTTGGCCATGAGCTGGGTGAAACTTCTGAACATTTTAGGCTGTCACTTTATTCAGCTGCTTACTATTTTAAAACTAAATTTATTTCATTTTTGTAATACTCTAATTATAAAACATTGTTATATTAGGAAACAATTTGATTTACTTAAATTTATACAATATTTAGGTTGATATTTTAAATTACTTGATATAATAATAGTTTAATTGTAAATGTTAGGTAGATATATGTTTATAATAGATATCTTCATTTGTAATCTCAATGTGAAATTTCTTTTTTTATTGTATTTTATTGATTTTTTTACAGAGAGGAAGGGAGAGGGATAGAGAGTTAGAAACATTGATGAGAGAGAATCATCGACCAGCTGCCTCTTGCACACTCCCCACTGGGGATGTGCCGGCAACCAAGGTACATGCCCTTGACCGGATTCAAACCTGGGAACTTTCAGTCCGCAGGCAGACGCTCTATCCACTGAGCCAAACCGGTTTAGAATCAATGTGAAATTTCTATTTCTTCATTGCTCTATTAAAAATTATAATTATCCTTTTTAAAAATGATCTTGTTTTATTGACAAATACTGTAATCTTTTTGATTAACTATACACCTCTTTTACACATTAGCTGTAAAAAAGGTAATTTGTTACCCACTCATTTCTGAGAGACTTAATTTCATTATGAGCATTAATTTCATTTATAGTGCAGTTAAAAGAGATGGACTGGCTTCAACCTGCCTGAAATTCACAACTTGATTCCACCACTTGCTATGTAAAGTTGCTGTCACTTTACAATATAAAATGAGCTTCTTCATCTATAAATATAACTCCTCAATATTATTTCATGAAAATTTGTATAGAACTATATATCTAAAATTTTCACACTGCTTATCATAAACTTCCAAAAACAGCTATCACTCACATCTCCATTATATAATCTGATATTTATATACATCTCTTTTATACTGACAATTCCTATTTGCTATTCTCATAAGTCTTAGTTTTTAATGTTTAAATTTAAAGCCACTTTAAGTACATTTTATAAACTGATAATGTAAATAGAAAAAGATCTGCATTATTTGAAGTGGGTTCTTTTTTATTATTATTATTATTATTATTATTATTATTATTATTCTTGATTATGGTATCACATAATTGTCCTCATCCCCCCATTCCCATCCCAAACCCCTCCCTACATATGTTCTCTCCCCTCCTCTCCCCCCATTGTCCATGGACACTGGTTGGGCTTATATGTATGTACACAAGTCCTTTGGTTGATCTCTCCCACTTACTCCCAACCTCTGAGGTTTGAGAGTCTGATCGTTGCTTCTCTTTCAATGGGTCTATTTTTGTTCATCAGTTTATGTTGTCCATTATTTTCTCTAGATGTGTGAGATCATGTGATCCAAGAAATATCCTTGTAATAACCAAAACTGAGACAAGCCATAATGGTTATGCTGAGAGGCAAATGAATCAGTCTGTAGTGAGTTCCTTTCTGGGCCAACAGTTCTTTTGAATCCCAATTTCAATGTCAAACAGTTCCTTATGTGTAGATGCCAGCCATGCTATTTCAGATCTGGATGGTGGACAAATGGTGGTGATGCAGGTTCGACCGTCTCTGGTTTGGTCCTAGGCATCCTTCAGGGATACGCAGCTGCTGTCTGCTGGTATGGTGAGGTGTCGTCAGCGTCTTCCATCTCTGAACTGTTTCTCTTCTGTTGAAGTGGGTTTTTTAGTGCTTCTCCTTAAAACAATCTTAAAAATATGCAAGATTCATTGCACAAAGCTCTGGACTCTTAAAAAACCTCTTAACTTAGCATGAATAATTATGTTATTGCTAATAACTCCTATGTGCATTAATGAAAATATAAACCATTGAATTAAAATTTCTTTAACATAATCTTTCATCACCAATTCATTTGGTAGCAGCAACATTATCTCATGGATTCCCTGTGGGATGGAAACCACACGGCAGTGACAGACTTCATCCTACTGGGCTTAACTGATGACCCCATTCTCAAAGTCATCCTCTTCATGATCATCCTGTGTATCTACCTGGTGACTGTGTCTGGCAACCTCAGCACAATCATTCTTATCAGAACCTCTCCTCAGCTCCATCATCCAATGTATTTTTTTCTGAGCCAGCTGGCTTTTGCTGACATATGCCTTTCAACTTCTGTCACACCCAATATGCTTGTAAATTTCTTGGTGGAGAGAAATCCCATCTCCTATCATGGATGCTGCACCCAGCTTGGTTCAACTGCATTCTTTGGGACAGTGGAGTGCTTCCTTCTGGCTATCATGGCATATGATCGCTTTGTGGCAATCTGCAACCCACTGCTTTATTCAACCAAAATGACCACACAAGTCTGTGTCCAGTTCCTCATTGTGGCTTACGTGGGTGGTTTTCTCAATGCTTCCTCCTTTATTATTTCCTTCTATTTTTTATTCTTCTGTGGACCAAATCGAGTCAATCACTTTTTCTGTGATTTTGCTCCTCTAGTTGAACTCTCCTGTTCTGAGAACAGTATCCCTGTCGTTATCCCCTCATTTACATCTGGCTCCATCATTGTGCTCACAGTGTTTGTCATAATTGTCTCCTACATGTACATCCTCATCACCGTCCTGAAGATGCGCTCCAATGAAGGGCGCCACAAAGCCTTCTCCACCTGCTCATCCCACCTCACTGCAGTCACCTTGTTCTTTGGGACCATCACATTTATATATGTGATGCCCAAATCCATTTACTCAACTGAACAGAATAAGGTGGTATCTGTGTTCTACACAGTGGTAATCCCCATGCTAAATCCCATCATTTATAGCCTCCGGAACAATGACATTAAGGGGGCTCTTAAGAGAATGCTTCACAAGATAATATTTTCTCTGTGAAACCTGCTATGTTGTGGGATCTGATATGATAATATGTCAGAAGTATAATAAAAGGAAATTGAGTATCTGTGGTCAAGATATATTCATCCATGTGTCATATGTGGAGCTACTGTGTGAAGATAGGGGATAGATTTTCTGATATCAAATAGTATTAGAGTCCCATTATCAGTTACTTCTAACAAAATTAGCCTAAATTTATAATTATGAACACAAATTTTCTAACATGAAAAGAATTCATATACTTAAAATCCCCTTAAATATTACTCATTTTTTCAAAAGTTGTTTTCTGTCATGATTATTGTACATCCAAACCTTTAAGACTGTGACTACTCTCTGCAGAAGCTTATCCTAAAATAAACATGATAATTATAGTTATAACTGAGTACATTCTGAGTAGAAAAAACCAAGTGGAACCAGTCAGTAAAATTACTGATGACATTCTTCTTGGAAGAAGGTTATTAGCTGAGAAAGTGCTCTGTAAACTCATAAATTATGACCTGTGTTCCTGACCCCATTATTATGGGGTCCTCTGTAATCTGGCTCTAGACTAATTCAGGGGACCCCATTATAGAACAGGATGAGATTCCCCTGAGCATCCTGTGAATTCTTCTGTTAGGTCAAAACAGTGATTCTCTGTGGGAAGGAGCAGGGATTCTGATATTTTCATAGACTGAGTGAACAAAATCTTGGAAGGACTTGTTCATGATCAGATTTGCATCCTGTTAGAGAAGCTTGAGGGAACTCCACTGTATTTTCTGTGAAGCTTAATTTACTTCTATATACTAAATGACTACCACATGTATTTCTTTTTCCCTGGCTCTCTCCCTTCCTCTGTGAAATCAATAGAAACACATTAAAAAACAACAACCAGGCGTATACATTAATGGAACAGAATATAGAATCCAGAAATAAACCCATGCCTTTACAGTTAATTAATATTTAACAATAAAAGGCAAGAACATATAATGGGGTAAAGACAACCTATTCAATAAATGATGTTGGGAAAATTGAATAGATAAATGCAAAAAACTGAAACTAGATAACCTCCTTACAGCATAAACAAGCATAATCTCAAAATGGGTTAAAAATTTAAATGTATGTCTCTAAACCATAAATATTCTAGAAGAAAATATAGGCAGTAATATCTCAGAGATTTCTTATAGCAATATTTTTTTTCTGACATATCTCTTTGAGCAAGGAAAACAAACAAAAAATAAACAAACAGGACTACATCACACTAGAAAGCTTTTGCACAGCAAAAGAATCCATCAACAAAATGAAAAGACAACACACTGAATGGGAGAATATATTCACCAATGATATATCTCATAGGGGGTTAATATCCAAAATTTATAAAGAACTTATACAACTCAACACAAAACAATCCAATTAAAAATTTGACAAGATATTGAAAACCTATTTGGAGAAATAATGACAGAAAATGTTCCCTACCTGGTGAAACAAATAGACTTACAAGTCCAGGAAGAAAAGAGAGCCCCAAACAAGATGAACCCAAAGAGGCCTACACCAAGACACATCATAAATATCAAAATGCCAAAGGTTAAAGACAAAGAGATAATCTTAAAAGAAGCAAGAGAAAAACAGATAGCTACAAGGGAGTACCCATAAGACTATCAGCTGATTTCTCAACAGAAAATTTACAGGGAAGAAGGGAGTGGCAAGAAATATTCAAAGTGATGACTAGCAAGTACCTACAACCAAGATTACCCAGCAAAGCTAGCATTCAGAGTTGAAAGTCAGATAAAGAGCTTCACAGACAAGGAAAAGTAAAGGAGTTCATCACCACCAAACCAGTAGTACATTAAATGTTGAAGGGTATTCTTAAAAAGAATAAAAAGAAGGGGGGAAAATATATATATATATGGCTAATATGGCAAATATGCAAATTTTCCACTTGGGAGTTCAACTGCTTGCTATGACGTGCACTGACGGTGGCGTGAAGCATGGAGGGTGACTAGCAGTGATAGTGGGGCATTGAGGGAGTGAGGGAAGAAGGAGGTGGGGATGCTAGACATAGAGAACCTACCCTGCATGAATTTCGTGCACCAGGCCTCTAGTAAGATAATAAAATGGCAATAAATACATATCTATCAACAACTGAATCTAAAAATACAAATAAATGAATAAGGAACATAATGAACAAAATAAATTGATGAATAAAATATAACCAGAGGCATGAAAACATGGAATAGACTGATACATTTCAGAGGGAAGTGTGGGGTGCGGGAAGAGATTAACCAAAGACCATATGCATACCGTATTTTCTGGCGTATAAGACGACTTTTGAAATGAAAAAAAGTCAACCGAAAATCGGGGTTGTCTTATACGACGAGTATATCCCAAAAATGTCTCAATATGCCGCTAAACGAATTTTCCAACTCGATCCCGAAAATCGTCTGGATATGCCGCTAAATGAATTTTCCAACTCGAACCCACACCAATCACTGCAAGGCTGCTTGGACCACCTCTCTAACTCAGCCAATCCAAGCAGGCTTTTTATGCATGCAAATTATACATGTTCTGTACCCGAAGCTACACTGTGTTCTAGTAAAAAGCCTGCTCAGATTGGCCAGAGTCAGAGAGGTGGACTATTAAAAAAAGAACTGGTGTTGCCTCGGAAATGGGGGGTAGTCTTATACAGCGAATATAGGCCTAAACCTATGTTTTAACTGTAAAATTAGGGGGTCATCTTATACGCCAGAAAATACGGTACATGCATTGCCTATGGACACAAACAATAGGGAGGTAAAGGCCTAGGATGAGGTGGGAACTGGGTGGAGGAGGGTAATTGGGGAGAACTGGGAGACATCTGTAATACTCTCAACAATATTTTTTAAAAAGATTAAACAATTTGCAAACACCAAGATGTTAACCAATAAAAACTAGTGGAAATAAAAAAAAAATGGGGAAAGGGCCTGGATAGACACTTCTCCAAAGAGGATATGCCGGTGGCCAACAGACATATGAAAAGATGCTCAATGTCACTAATCACCAGAGAAATGCAAATTAAAACCACAATGAGACGTCACCTGACACTTGTCAGAATGACTACCATCCATAAATGAACAAACGAGTGTTGGTGAGGATGTGGACAAAAGGAAACCCTCAAGCACTGTTGGTGGGAATGAAGTTTGCTGCAGCCACTGTGGAAAACTGACAGACTCATTAAAGATTGCTTGTGTTTGTGTGAAGTGAGCTGCTCAATATTCACTTGAGAATGTGATAATGATGCCTGGTGCTTTTGAATTCACATTTGAATCTCTGGAATCTTCAGAGGTTTATCCCCAAAGGCAAACAATAATAAAAACATGCTCACTATATAACAATAATAATTTTGAATTTATTGTTGTAAGATGAATGAATTCCTATGTCAACAGGTAAGATTTTGGCTTTTGTGAAGAATCTATGATTTCCATATATTGTCCAAAATTGCATTCACTAGACCTGGTTGGGAAACAAGGCAGATGTAATCCAGCAGTCAGCTAGCAAGTAACCTTATCTGAATTAACCCAAGTTTCTACAGTCTATTTAGTGGTTATAAACAAATATAACTCAGGGTAGCAGGCCTCCTCGTTTATCCACCCATAAAACCAGAAATTCATACGATCTTTCCCACTCTTTAAACTTGGCACTCAACCATAAAGCTAATTAATTCACTGGCTTTGAGATGCTTTGGAGACTCACTGTTTGTAAATATTCAAAAATTCCATTTATTCATTGTTCTGAATGCTTTAGCTTACAGGCAACCAGATACTTTTTTTTTTTTTTTTTTTTTTTTTTTTAAGAATGGCTTTAAAGTGCCCATTTTAGAGGCCGGGAACCCAAGCCCTGCTCCAATTTCTTGAGCAAGCAGGAGGCCCCACTTTCCTCTGCTCAAAGATAAACTGGAACTTGGTATCAGAAGCCTCAAGACACTCAAGTTGAAATGATATGATTGTTTTGCTATCTGATAAGTGCCTTTTTAACCCTAGGAGATAAAAAAAATATAGAAATTATTTAAAAAATCAAATACATACTGAAGGTTTAAGGTTACATTTAGGAACCTTTTTGTGTAAATTAATATTCAAGTTCATAAATGTTTAAGAGAATTTGCATATTCAAGTATCCAACAAATTAGACTTGCAAATGTAATATAAAATGTATTACTTTTAGGCTTATGATTTTAAGTTGAAAATACTTAGATGCTTTTTTAAGTTTATGTAAAATACTGTAGTTACCATATTTTCATGTTTAACATATTTTTGAAATATTTTTCAAGTATTATATAAATCAAAAGATAATATTGATTAATCAGACATTTGGGGCACTTAAAAATAAAAGTGGAATATATTGAACTTTAAAGGCAATATTTTAGAGGAAATTATAATGGTTCCCCTGCAATATGATTCTAAATATTCGCTGGACTGACAAAGAGAATTATGAAACTAGCAGGCTCAACTTAAACGCTCCAGGGAAAACAAGAGAGTTTCCTACCCAGAATGTTAATATAAATTTTGAAACAAAAGTAGATCCCGAACAATCTTTTATGTGTCAATGCTCTCTCCTCCCTCCCTCACCCCCAGTACCAAAAAGCTTACATTGAAAACGTACTCCAGCCTTCCGCAAGCAAAGCGTGAAAACCCACTGCTGTAAGCTGTGGGCAGGCACTGACGGATTTTCATGATAGCGAACCCTGATTGAATGGGTCAATCAACAATCCTTGAGGCCAATTCAATGCCTATGGGTCAGATGCTTTAGGCTAGACCGTGGTCAGCAAACTGCAGCTTGTGAGCCACAAAATACCATGGCCTGGACGAGTCTATTTTGAAGAAGTGACATTAGAAGAAATTTAAGTTTAAAATTTTTGGCTTTCAAAAGAAATTTCAATCGTTGTACTGTTGCTATTTGTCTCTGTTGATTAATGAGTTTGCCCACCACTGGGTTAGACAGCTCTGCTTTGCTCTTTGCCTGCTAGAAACACATGGGTTTCATTTTTCCAT